CAACTCTAAAAGCAATCATTCATTTTATTAATCAAAATTTTGATAATATTAAGAAAAAGTAAATGAGTTTTTTTTTAAATTCATAAATTTTTTCTAATTTTTTTATTCTAATTTTATTAACAATCCAAAAATTTGCCTTATCTTTTTGTAACTAAATAGATGGTTCAATTTATAATTAAAATTCAAAATTTTATGTGTTATCAAGAATAATTACAGAGTATATCAAAAATTACCTGAGAAATGACATCAGATATTTAGCTTTCTTGTTGTTACCCCAGCTTTGCATCATACTTGCAGACGCTCCAACTCGATCACTACCTTTTGAAAAAAAATGAAGCAATTAAAGGTGGTTAAAGGTAGAAATTTTCAAATTATGCTAATCTCATATGTTAAAATAAATGAAACTACAAAATATTATGCTAAATTCTTAACACTAAAATTGTCTAATTATTTGTTATACTCATAGAACTAAGACTACACTTATTGCAGAATCATTTATTGAAATTAGCATTTGTATAATTTTCTTCCATACTGATGTCATTGGGACTTACCTTGATTTAATTTAGATTGATATTCAAGGAATAATTTCAAAAAAACTTTGATGTAGAAATCTTCCAATGCTTGTTGTATAACACTGATACACATACTGACCATTGCAAGACCAAATACCACAAAAACAAAACACATTATCATCAAGCTACAAATAGTTCCTATTAAATGTAAGGCATACAAAAACAAAAATTTGAATAAAATTCCGTTATTTTAAAAAAAAGCATTAATTTTCAAAACAAAATTTAAATAAAGATTAGAGTGAGAGTTTAAATCAAATTGAAATTATTAGAAAATTTTGCATGTTTTAATTGAATCGAAGGAAGGAAAAACACAATATCGATGTATTTCAAAAGGAAAAAAAAAGGTTTTATTTTTCACATTAAACAAAACAATGTAAGAACTAACTCTCTTCGTCTTACGGCAAGATCGCCCAATCCAATTGTTGATAAACTGGAATAAAAATTTTCATAAAATATTTTAATTGCTAAGAGAATTTCCGAATGTATTAGAGAAAGCAATAATTTCAAATGATTAAACTAATTTTTAGATTTGCTGTGCAAATGATAAATCAATGGTCAGAAATTTGCTAATATAATATGCTCAATGATGAATAATAACAAAAAATATTATACTCCCTATTAATTATTCATTAGAAATTTCATAAATTTCGTTAAAATTTTGAAATTATCATTTTTGAAATGAAATTTGAAGTTAAATCATAGATTAGATCACAAGTACGAAAAATGATTACCTAATAAACATGAAATAACAGCTTTCTGCATAAGTCCAATCATGCTCCCATATTTTGAAAAGTCCTGCACACAAGAATATCCAACTAAAAGTGATACCGATTGCTAATAGTACGGGTATTCGAGGTGGTGGATTAGGATTATTCAATACCGTAACATCATGATTTACCATCCTTGTATCATCTTCTTTAATCGATTCTAAAATTGTTGGAATTTTAAATTTTATTTTCTACAATAAATATCAAATTTTCCATGTTTTAAACTTCATATCTTTCATATTTGGTATAATAAATAAAATTATAAAAACATCATGGAATTTGTTATCAAATTATCTGCTTAAAAAAAAAAAAAAAANAAAAAAAAAA